AGATCGCGAAACGCGGACCGCGGGCTGACCCCCGCGGTCCGCGTGTTTTAGAAAATAAAAAACGCAGTATGGAATAATCTACCCAAAAGTGCGAACCAAACGGTATGGCGGCGTTTTCAAAACGCCGCCCGCACTTATAAGCTGCCCCAAACGGGCCCATAAGCTTGTCAATGATGTCTTAGTTTAAAGACTTGGTAATAGTTTGACATGTTGAACGTATGTCATAGCTTCAGAAGCATCAATTGGCCATAAGGACCAAAACAGGGAGTTGTGATGAGGTTCGTAGGTCGTAGAGGCGAGATTTGGGAACTGCATGAACTCTGATAGTTTTTGTAGGCCGCAGCGGCTGAAGTTGATAGTTGTGTGCATTGCGAGCCATGTCGACCATAATTGATCACATGGGAAATGACACGGAGCTGTTAAATTGTTTCTAGGTTGTAGAGGCTGAAGTTGGGAGTTGTGTGAGTTGTGAGCTACATGGGTTCTAGTTTATGGCAAAGGGTATGGAGGTGAGTTATAATAACATCAGCAGGGCACAAAAGCCAAAGTTGGAGCTACGTAAGGTGTGAGCCACGAATATTGTAGTTGGTCACATTGGTCATAGTGGTGAGAGGTAATACAATTTATAGATCTCAAAAACCAGAGTTTGTAGATGCATGAGTTATGAGCCATGTAGGTCGTAGTTTGTCACATAAGTCGTAGGGGTGAGCTATAGGTCGCATAGGTTGGAGTTGGGAGTTGTATGGGTTGTGAGACACATAGGTCGAAGTTTGTCACATAAGTCGTAATGATGAGTTTTAATAGCTTATGTAGGCTACAGAAGTTGGATTCATGAGCTACATAAGTTTGAGCCATGTAGGTCGTAATTGGCTACATAAGTCGTAGTGATGAGCTATAAGTCATGTAGGTTAAAGTTGATCACATATGTCATAGTGGGAAGTCATAGCAGTATTGATTGATCGCCAAGGCCGAAGATAGGGTTGGTGTTGCAATTGTAGTAAATTACATAGGTTGTAGGCCGTAGTAGAAAGTTGTGAGACAGAACTTCAAGAGTTATAAGAAGGTCACTGTATTCCAAGTAAGACAGTTGTCATTAGTTATTACAGACAGTGACAACGTGATTCAGGTGCTTTGTTAGACCGTTTTTGGGTATGTCATTATACAATATGCGAGGTGTCATTATATCATCTTCAGGGTGTGTCATTACATCGTAGGGTTCATAAACATCAGTGAGCAGGGGGCACCCAGTGGTGATTAAAGGTGTTCGTCGATGGTGGTTAAAGAATGTGGAAAATAGGAAGTGTTCATCGGATCTTCAGTTAAGAGCGACATTTAAAAGTCAGTTTCTCCTAAGTCCTCCGTCAAAGATTGAAGAATTAGATAGGACCAAAACAATTTAGCGTGTTTTAGGGTTTCTGAAGCTTTGATCAAGCTTTTAAATGATAAACATCTTAGCACAAATAATCTTTGTCGATAATGTTCGGCAGGGGTCGACGGTTATTGATGGCGGGTCATGGTGGTCGATGGCAGTTGGCAGTGGTCGACAACGAAAGGAGTGGTTTTGGACCCCCCCCCCCCCCCCCCCCCCCATGAGAGAAGTGGGGTTCTGTTTATAGAATTATGTGTGCAATTAATGTCAGGATATGAATCACTTTGATTGGATGACTCATATGGCTTCCATCAATCAGACGACATTTGATGAATATTTAAGTGCCTTAACGATGTCGAAATTGGGTAATATTGGGCTGGTTGGATTTGTTTTTTCAAGGCACTAAATTTGACTATAGACTCGTCAGAATCAACATTCATTTGATCTTCTAAATGTGTCAAAAAAAACTTTAAAAAACAGTTTAATGGTTTGGTTTGGTTGGGATTGGACTAATTTTGGTAACATTGGGTTCTTCTCGTTGAGTCAGTCAGTTTGACTTTAAGTTTGCTAAAGTTGGAGCTCCAGATGAATTTTTATCGTTGTTTGAATATTTCTTGCTCAAAAAGTCATCTCGAAATATGTGACATGCCTCAAGATTTTTGTCAGACCATGAAGAATCATTGGAGTCGTATCAATAATAAATAAAGAGTGTAAGTGTCAAAATAGTCTCAAACTATTTACATAGGATCATTTTAGGCCCATAATTTATCAAACTATCAAAATAGTTCAGATTCTTTAAATTATGGTTGAAATAATCTTCATGAAGAACTATTAAAGCTCAATTTAAATATAATCGATCAATTGAACTGGGACGTGGTGAGGATCCACAGCCAATTATTTCTCCCGTAACCCTAACCCTAACCCTAACCCTAACCCTAACCATCCAATGAAAGTTTGATGCTATCCAATGAAAGTTTGTTTAAAATTGTGTGTATATTTCACACGCACGAATATTAGCTTATAATTAACCACCACAAAAGCATATATTTAATCGAGACTGCAGAAGGGGACATCTTCATCGGACGTGGCAATTTTTAACTGCAACCAATTGCTGTGTGGATACATCGCTCCACAACAAGCCACAACGGACCACTCTACTATTTATTTTAATATTATTTCACTTTTCCCACCAGTGCGCTTTTTCTAATCGCTAAAAACTTCAATTGCCCACAGCTATCCAGCCATCATACTTTTTTATTTGGATGATTTACATATAAACCACTTAAATCTTATTTATTTACATAAACACCACTTAAATTGGGGGTATATAAGTAAATGTTTCTTATTACTTTTTTTTTTAGCTGTCTGAACTATTTCACACGTGGGGCGGCCGAGTGAGTCCGTGTGTGTTTGACTTGGGAGAACTGGAGCCAAATTTTTTAGATGATTTACTATTTTTTTAATTTTTATATTTGATTTATAATGTTTTTATTTAATTTGATTTATAATATATTCATAAATAATTTTATAAAATCAAATAATTAAGCAATCGAACAAATTTAAAATTAAAATCTAACAGTTTTCAATATATATTGACTTTATCAAATAGCATAAAATAAATACTAAAAACTTAGTTATTTGAAATAAAAAATAATAATTTCAGTTTTTTTTTATAATTATTACTTTCAAACTACAATATATTAATATTAAATATATAATTAAATAAATTTTAATTAATCAAATTTTATTTACTAATTGGAAGAAATATGATCCAAGTATTATAATCGAGAAGAATTTGAGTCTGCATAGGTTCATTTACAGCCCTTGGCACATGCTAGAATTACATACATACCAGTTAATTCTTATTTATTTACATATTCAACTAAACTTTATTTGTTACATAATATGTAAGTCTTGGAGGTTTTAAACATTAAAAGAAAATTTTGGTTATTAGGTATGTAAATACCTAAGAATTGGACTTAAATGAAGAAATTTGCTTAAGAAGCACTTATAAATTTTTGAAGGCAACGTGATTTAGTTTAAAGTCCGTTTGAGGCAGCAGGGTGACACCGCACCGTAATTTTGTCAGTTCGGATAAATTGTGTTTTGGCAGATTTTTTCAAAAAACTTCAGTTGAAATTAATGTTTTTCTACCGGTTTTGACTAGGTGCGATGACAGCTTGTTAGTTGCAACCTGACTTTTTCGAAAAAAATTGTAATAATCATCATAATTTTTTGTAATATCAGATTATTTTTCAGGAGTTTCATAATTATTTCTTAATAAGTTGCAACTGCCTCAAACAGACCTTTATTAATTATTATATAGCTTTTATAACAAATGTTTCATGCATGTATTAAATTTATGATTTGATATTTGATAAATAAAAAAGGTGAGCCAAATTTTTTATTAGAATTTCATATTTTATAGCTATTAATTAAAATTAGTTGATAGAAGATTAACAAATAAATTTATAATATATTAATCTCAGAATAAATTAATTTGTAATAAAACTTATTTTGATTTGATTTGGATCAAAGTATTTTAAACTATACTTTTTCTCATGCTTAAAAAATGAAATATTTATAAAAAAAATAATGTCTAAATACTTCAACTTGGAATAATATCACTCAAATTTTGTAAAAAAATGATGATTTAATCATATAGAATTTAAATAAATATCACAAAGATTTTATGAATGTATATATTTAAGACCTAAGTTTGGATATTTATTTGTTAAATACTCGAACGTTATATTTATATAAGTAAATTATATATATATATATATTGCGCGCGCGCGCACGCGCAATTTTATCATTTGATGTTTCATATTCAAAATAATGATCGTTCTGAGCCCCAATATCAACAAGTTTGTAGTCAAGAAAACTGTCTCGACAAGACAAATCTAATGATATAAAATTGGTTTGATTTGAATCCAATCAAACTCATATCAAGCCATTAAAGTTCTTTTAAAGGTTCTGGTTTCTCAATTGAATGATCATATGAACTTAAAATTTGACCATATATATATTCAAATCAAGCATCTCAATGAGAGAAATCCAATGAGTCTGAGCTCTCTTGACTCCGAAGTCATTAAAGTCCTCAAATTGTAAAATTACTTTCTGTGACCAGTGAGGATCCATATAGGTCGTCTGATCGGTAGTTAGAGAAGTTATTAACCAAAAGATCAAAGTATTTCTCTCAAAGATGCTATAAATATGCCTCCTATTTTCATCGAAATGGGGAGGTGGGCACGAGTGGGTAGGAGAAGAAGAGGAATTTAAGTGATGCTTTGGACTTAAGAGCAATATAGAAATAATCTTTCTTACAAGCACTAAGCCATCCCAAAGCTTTCATCGACGAACGACCAAGTCATCTCTCTCCAGAGGCTTCTTTGCTTTGGGTGTCTTGTCTCCCACCTTCACCGATTCCATCCTATGTTTCTCCCTCTCGTATAATTCCTCCCAATGGCTCTCTGTCATGTCCTCAAAGGCACAAGATCACAGAACCCTATTGACAACATCTAAATCAGTGAACAGGTAAACCAAATTCTCTCCCCCCATCATATATGTGCATACATGAATGTGTTCTGATAACATTTTCAGCCTCACCATTTTATTGGTGATTGGTCGAACACAGACCCCCGACCACAGCGAGATGCAGCAATTACCCTTCACCTTACTCTTGACCCTTACCACCTAGAGCTTGGGGCCAGACGAGAACACTATATAATCATCCTAGTCGAATTTGAAGCTGAAGAAATAGGAGATAACTCGATCGACCATGGGATATCATTTTACTGGAGGCATACAACCAAGTTCATTATGATATGAATGGAATTCAAGCTAACTTGTGCAGGGATGATGCCATAGCTGTTGAGAATATACCTCATTTCACTGTAGAAAGACAGTTGTAACCTGCATTTGATTTGGTCGATATAAATGACCAAGCTATCACTATAGTTTCCCACTAACCTTTCCCCTGTGACAACAACATGGAGTACAACGTCTAGGCCGAAGGCAAACGACTTGAGTAGAGCTACTGTCTGCCTCTTTGAAATAATTAATGACACGTCAGGAGGGATCACACTAAAGAGTTCAGAAGAGTACCATGGGGCCATATTGGGACAAGGAGGAAAATAAAGAAGTCACATGAAGGAGGAGAAAGGGACTCTGTGAGGAGCTAAACTTCTGATTAACTATCTTATAACATAATAAATAAAACTGAAACCCACGAGGGCCATATAGTCTTTTAGTCACATCAAAGTGCGGGAAAAATGTTACAACAAAGGTGTATATCAATGAACCAATAAACACAAATAAAAGCATGAATATTTAAATGTTGAATGACGAAATGAAACATATACACATGTTCATTAATGAGATAAAATTTATTAGCATTCATGCTACCCATTTACAATTATTGCATTAGAAAGAAAAACATTAACAAAATTATTGGCCGCTGCCTCGGGCGGGATGTACCCCAACTGAGACAACCACTTAAATAATTGGGGAAGACCTTTAGCCTACAATCTCCGACCTAACGACTGTCTGCCCTTAGTGTAGCCCGACAACATCTGTGGATCCCATGTGCTGAATTTATTTATAGACTAAAATATCTTGAAGTAACCTACTTATCGTAAGAGTATAACATGTAATTGTATTAAAACTCATTCACATGAATAAGAGGGCTATTTCATGAATAAAAGTTACACAATTTCACTATTCAAGAAAGTGTTATATATATCTCTCTCTCTTTCAATCTTCAACGCTCTATTGCATAGTCATGTATCTCGGACAGATTTAGATTCAACAATCTTGTTAGAGCTTGAATTCTCATTACTTCACTCAATCTTCACATGAGGAATAAAATATTTTTAAAGGAAGGGTTTTATGGTTCGAGTCAAAGTAACTCATTTTTCCTGCCTTCTTCCTTTATACATAAGGTAAGATAAAGAATTATAAAATTATCTCACGTAAGATATTACGCCTATCCACAAGTCCATAACATCTTGATGAAAATGTCGTAACATAGGTGTCATAAATATAGATGGATATATGCACTATCTTTTTAGTAGCTGGTTTGCTCATGACTAGATAAACTACTTCAACGAGTAGGCTCAGCTCGACCACATTGATAAATTAGCTCAATTGTATCACTTCGACGAGTAGACCTGAATTCAGGAATACCCACCCACATGTAAGTCATGTTTAAATTCAGGGTAGCATTTGGGTATACAAATATGTTTCGACAACTTTAGAAAGCAACCCTTCCTATTTTCCGTTTGGTTATTTCTGTGATTAGCCTCCGTGGTCGCACTAACCTTAAAGCGGTCCAAAAGGCACTATAAAAGCCTTGACCGATGCACCGTCCTTTCACCTACCAACTCTACTTCGACCATTACGCAGCGATTCTTGATTCCATTCTCTCCGGCGGCGGTGACACCATGGCCGCCCAGTTGCGTTTCTCCCCGCTACAACCCCCCGTCGCATCCTTTGCCCAAGTTCGCCGTTCTTTCGCCGGAAACCTTCTCAAACCATCGATCTTTCTCCCAACCACCTCTCCTTTCTCTTCCTCTGCGTCCCTCTCCCTCGTTCCCAGATCTTCAAACCCTAACCTCTCCCAAACTTTCACCGCCGGCGGCGGTGGCATCGGCGGGGGCGGCCTCGGAGGTTCTGGCGGCGGCGGCGGAGATGAGAACGATGGGAGGTCCGGCGGAAATCCGGAGCGATCTGATCTGATCGGTCCGATCGGGCTTTTTGTCAACGGATGGCGAGCAAGGGTTTTGGCTGACCCCCAGTTTCCGTTCAAGGTTCTCATGGAGGAGGTGGTTGGCGTTTCAGCCTGCGTGTTCGGCGACATGGCCTCCCGTCCAAACTTCGGCCTCAACGAACTCGATTTCGTTTTCTGCACGCTCGTTGTTGGCTGTATCGTTAACTTTGTTCTCATGTATCTCCTCGCGCCGACCACCGCCGTCTCCTCAACGGCCGCCGCCGCCGCCGCTTCCCTCCCGAGCTACATGTTCGAGCCGGGGGCCTTCTCGCTTGCTGAACGGATTGGAACGTTTGCTTACAAAGGGGCTACGTTCGCTGCAGTTGGATTTGCCGCTGGGCTGGCGGGTACGGCGATCTCTAATGGGCTGATTTCACTAAGGAAGAAGATGGATCCGGAGTTCGAGACGCCTAACCAGGCTCCGCCGACGGTTCTTAACGCGATCACTTGGGCGCTGCATATGGGATTGAGCAGCAACATCAGGTACCAAACGCTGAACGGTTTGGAGTTTGTGATGGAGAAGGTACTGCCGCCGGTGGGTTTTAAGTCATCGGTGGTGGTGCTCCGAGGTCTCAACAATGTGTTGGGAGGCATGTCTTTCGTGCTTCTAGCTCGATTAACAGGATCGCAGAAGGTGGTATCTGATGAGGCGAAGGTGAGCTTGATTACTGATGGATCGGCCACGGATGGATCGACGGCCGTGGAGTCTGAAGACGGGGAGTTGCAGAGGAACGATTCTAATTGCAAGTAAGTGTTTAGCTGTTTTGTTTCGCTGAATCTAAATGTAAATGAAGAAAACGGGTGCAATGGCTTTTTTGCTCTTTAGCTAGAAAGTAGAGGGAGAATTGAAGTGCAATGGTTATATTTTTATGGAACTTCTTTCTTCTTCTTCATTTGCCATTGTAATAACGAAAGTTTCTATTTTTCTTCTCTGTTGAGCTTTGATTGAGTGAATTTTCTTCTTTAGTCCTTTATGAACCTATATTGATATAAATATTGTTAGTTTTTTTTTTTATTGGCATCAAAAAATCGATCCATGATTGTCGATCTGGTTATCGTACAATTTGTTGTCATGCCTGGTTTTAAAATCTGAATGCAGTAGATGTTGCTTGCCTTTGCAGCTCTGTTGAATGCTCTGAAAATTCTGCTGGTTGAGTAAATTTTTTTTATTAGGTAAATCTGCATGCTATAATATGATGGAAGTTGATGTTATCAGAAAAGAGGAAGCTTATTATTATTATTATTATCATTATTATTTATTTTAAATAAAGTATTTGTTGTAATTTCAAAACAGAGGATGCTAGAGGTTTAGTTAATCTTTGTCTATTGTTATGATATTTAAGCTCTGTTGCTTGTATTGTTCTGTAATTCTTATATAAATTAAGGCCATTTACATAGATGTCACACAATTCTCATGTCTTTTCTTATGTAACACCTAAAAAATTATATTTTCATACATAGCACTTAAATTTTTAACATCACACCACATCACATCAAAAATAGTAATACCACTACATTTTTAAAAGTGAAATATATATTTTCATGCATATGTTTATGACACAGAAGTGTTGTAAGTGTAAATGTCATATTTTGGGTTTTAGATATGTAAATACATAAAAATTGTGTTGTAAGTATGTAATATTCCCTATGAATTAGCATGGAATTCAGTTTGTTAAAAATAAATTGAGGGCTTTAAACAAATAAAACTAACAGATAGGAGAAAAAGGGAAAAAAAAAAAAGAAATGTTTTGGGTCAAGAAATCGAAATGTTTTGGGTCAAGAAATCCGAAATCCTTAAGAAAATTTTGTTAGGATTGTTCACAATGCCATTAAATTTGCTTTGAGATGGGTGCAATCTATGAACAATCAATCAAAATTTGTATTGTGCTCATCTTAAACCAAATCCAACGGCTTTGATACCCACTCAAAGCAAAAATTGGTATAGATATCAGAAGTCATTTTCAGTTTATTTTTGTTTAGATTGATGGTTTACATAAACGAGCTAATTTCATTTAGATTTTCTCTTCTCAAGCACCACACCCTTCATAGTTCTTCAAAATTCTTGTCAGCCATTTTGAAGATGCAATTTGAAGATTGATTGCACTGCTTGGTTTGGCTTTTTCTGCAATTTCTGGTTTGATTTGGTTCTAAGAGATTTTTTTGAACTTCCATTATAAATGTCAAATTTGTGACCCAGCTTTGGGGATTCAGTTTGTCTTATAAGAAAATTGGGCGTAAACCAATTGAGATTTGGGGATTCAGTTTGTCTTATAAGAAAATTGGGCGTACACCAATTGAGATTTTAGAAGGAAATTTTGAGCACACAAGTTAAAGACTTATACTGTTTCATCAACTTATAGTAGCTTTTAGATTACAATCCGAGTGCTCTTATTTTAGTGGCTCTCATTTAAAAGGGATTTTGTTATTGTTTTGTACAAGGGCGCTCACTTTCATTGCTTTGGTTTCATGTTAGCTAAAACTCTTCACTTGTAATTTTTTATTTGATATAACGAATTCTCTTCATCCGCTAGACTTTTTTCCCATCTTAGGTTTTTCACGTAAAATTTGTATATTTTTTCTTTGGTTTGTTTCATTGTTTGTTGTGTTGATTCGTTATGATTTTTGATGTTATAATGAGAGGTATCAATGTCAAGGTTTTATCTCGACGATGACAACGGTGGAGACATCTCTTTTTGGTGTCAACACTAGATGTTCGCTTTGGCAGTTTAAAATGCAAGCTGTCTTAGCACAGATGGATCTAGACAATGCTAAAAAAAATACATTTATCAAAGATGCTGGAGGAGAAACAATATAAAGATCGAAAAGTTTTTTCTTAATTTCATCTTCACCGGTCAAATTAGATTTTACGTGATATTTTGAAGGAGAATATTACTATTACGTTATGACTAAAATTAGAACAATTTTGCATAATGAAAAGTTTGACCAATAAGTTGCACTTAAAACGACATTTACACTCTCACAGGATGATTGAAGGTGCATCTTTTATCGATCACTTAACTTTCTTTGAGAAAATTGTCTTTGATTTGTAAGTCATGGAAGTTAAGTATAATGAAGAAGATTTAACATCAATAATACTCTACTCGTTTCCCTTTTCATATACAACATTGAGATATATCATTTTTTATAGGCGAGAAACACTTACTTTAGATAAAGTATATGATTCGCTCCTTTTAAATGAGCAGATGAAATTACTTGTAGAAAAAAATATCGCTCAAGGAAAATGCCTTGTTGTTCAAGATGAAACTCAAGAGAGGAGTTTTGATGCTAGTGGGAAGAATAGATCCAAATTCAGAAATAATGATAAGATCTATAATTTCTGTAAGAAAAAGAGACACATCAAAATTGAATGTTTCAAGCTACAAAATCAAAATAAAAAAACAACTTCTAATCAGAGAGACAAAAAATCAGATCATGTTGGTGACACCAGTGTTGTTGAAGAAGTTGTTAATGATGATGAACTCTTAATAGTCTCTGAAAGCGAATCTTGTGATGATTAGGTTATTGATTTAACATGCACATTTTATATGTGTTTTAATAGAGATTGGTTATCAATATATGTATCGATGTTGAAGGGTACCATGTTAATGGGCAATAATGCTCATTGTATAATAATCAGTGTTGAAACTGTTAGAATCAAGATATCTGTTTGAGTAATTAGAATACTTGGATATATGAGACATATTCCAGATCTGAAAATGAATTTAATTTCCTCAAGTACTTTTGATGTTAAATGGTATAAATACTTTGGTGAATGCGTAGGTTTAAATATTGACAAAGTCTAACTTGTTGTGATGAAATGATAGAAGAAGGTTATTGAACTATATGTATTGTAAGACTCTACATTGATAAATGACACATGAGTTATTACTTCTTCCATATCAGATGATGAAGCAACTATACTTTCACTCATGCGCGTTGGACATATGAGTGAGAACATGATGACTGAACTGAGCATAAGAGACTTCGAAATAGTCAGAGTATTACTAAATCAAAGTTCTTTGAACACTATGTGTTTGGAAAATAGAAAAGAGAAGTTCAATACTAACATTCACGATACTAAATGAATATTAGACTACATACATTCTGACTTTTGGAGACTATCAGCAATTCATCTGAAGGTGGTGTCAAATATATGTTGTTCATTGATTTCTCCAAAAATATTTTATTTATTTATTTTTTTTGGAAGTAGAGAGCAATGTTCTTACTACTTTTAAGGAGTAAAATATTATGATTGAGAAATAGACTAGAAAGCAGATTAATTGTCTTCACACTGATAATGTGTTGAAATTTTGTTCATAAGAATTTAACATTTTTTTTGTAAATCAAAAGGAATTCTAAGAGATTTCAGTCTGACACATACTACGGTAAAATGATGTGGCAAAGCGAATGAACATACTATACTATAATGGAGAAGCTTAGTTGCATATTCTATCGGTCGCCAATTGGAATTTAATTTAATTTAACTATGTGTGTGTGTATATATATATATATATATACAATTTGAGCTTCTCGATTCAAGGAATGGTTGAAAAATGAGACTGAACAATTCTCCTATACTTAATAGTTTAAATAATTGAGCATGATACCACAAATGATATATTATCTTGAAATATAAGTGTATCACTTGCCAGTAGTTTTAACTATTAAACTAAGAGATTTATGACTCTATTTTAGTCTATGAAATTTATGACCGATAATTTCTCTATCAAATATAAAAATTAAATAGAGTTTATATTATATGAGTTACTAATTCTCCTATAGAGGCAATCCTCTATAGTTAATTACTTCTTAAGCAACCGAAATTACTTAAGAAAACTCTCGATTAAGATTAGGGGTTTTGTCTTCAAAAATTCAAAGTTTAGTTTCCACGATTAGACATAGGAAAATCAAGTTAGAATGACTCAAGTAGAAACAATATTTTGGGAAATCCAAAGGAGCGAAATGTATGAGATGTCACAATTTTTTAGGAGAACCTCAGGGACTTCTCGAATTATCTTATTGTTTGCCTTTACGTTTTAAAAATGATGTTATTTGATGTTCACTCTTGCCATTTATTAGAATTCTCGGACTTATATCTGAACAATATATACTTGTGCAAAAGACCTAAGAAGATATTAAGATTTACGTTGTACGGAACGACAAGCTCAGAGTCCTAAAAAAGAGTTAGGGCTTATTTTAAACGAAATACGCTCATACGAATGCCTAAAATGTACCGTGAGGATTTATGTCGTGCTAGATGAACAATCTCGAAGTCCTATGGGTTTATGTTGTTCAAGACTATAAAAAGTTCATTTGAAGTTCATTCTTCACTTCATGTTAAGCCTTCTGAAGTCGCCTTCCATCCGCTTGCACCCTCATAGTGCTTCATGAAGAGTCTTGCTTCGTGTTGTAATATTGAAATTAGTATAAGAGAGATTTGTAATTCTATTATGTATCAATACAATCAAATTATAATGATTTTTTAAGGACAAACAAAACTTGGACATCAACATAATATATTTAAGTAATATTTTTGTATTTTTTAATGCTAATATCAAGCCGTGATGAAATAGTGTCGCCCTTTGTTAAAAGACTAAGGAGTTGTGTCCCATCACACCATTTAAGTATGTGCCATAAATTTAGGGTCTATTTAGAATAATTTTTTGTCTGCTCCACCAGCTGTGTTCCTGTTGCTGCTGAGACTTTTTTATGATGGGAAGTTATTTTTCCAACATGTTATATTAATATGTTGTGATTGCAAGAAAACTGTTGTTTAATTTTTAAGAAAAAAATGTATTTATTTTCCACCATAACAATACACTCATATTTTTAAAATTTTACAATTATCCAACATACCACTAAACAATTTGAAATGACAAGGATTAATACTCATAATTAGCTGATGTGGTCTTTCTTAACCTCGATTTAGCTAATTATAAGTAATTAGTCCTTAATATCAATTTTAGCTATATAAATATATATCATTAATATTATTTCTGGTATATATATATATATATAT